TGTCTCTGTCTGTCTGGTGAGCGCACGCACCCTATAGCAAAAACCACTCAAAAAAAATTACTTAACTTTATTTTATTTATCTATTTTTTTTTCCAGGTTTTTGCTATAGGGTGCATGCGCTCATCAGAAAGACAGAGACAGAGAGATAGAAAGAGAGAAATTACACCCCCCCAGGGGGGATGGCCATGCTGCAATCCCTTCTCCCTCCTCCTCTCGGGATCTTGGGCACACACGCACACACACCCAGTGTGAGTTTAAGCCACTGGGTCTGGGTCTCGAACTACGGTCAACCACATGGGAGTCCAGCGACATAGCCATTATGTGAACTGCTAGTCCCCTACTTATTTATTTATTTAATTTTAATTTGACCAGAGAGGAACAGAGTGAGAGAGAGAGAGGGAAAGTGAGAAAGCAAGCTGCCAGGTCTAGGACTTGAACCGTGGTTGGTCATGTGGGAGTCTAGTGCCTTAACTACCATGGCACCTGCCAGCTTCTTTCATAGGTGTTTTATAAGAGACTCTTTTAGAACATACATTTTGATAAATATATAGTTTTATGGCAATGAAGGAAGATATTTGAAATCTAAACTATACCAGAAAACTGGACACGTAATAATTACATCTACCTGGCACGTTGGATCAGCCTATAGGCAATGTACTTGCGGAACAGGTATCCCAGCCGAACTGTATCCATGCGAAGTGTCTCTATGATGAGAGTCCTGGCTGTTGCATGTAGTTGTGAAGGGAGTCCAGAAGTTTTTGTGGCCTGATTTAATAGTATCAGGTTCTGCCTTTGAGCCTCCACATCAAGAAAATACCTCTTCTCTTCCAGCTCTTGGGGAGTAGTAGAAGGAGATACCATCATCTTGGCTTTCTTGGTACCTAAAACTGAAGTCAGTATCCAAGACTTGTCTATAGGGGGGAATCGGGATTTCTGGTCCCAATCAGGAGGTGTGATCTGTGACGATTTGGGTAGTTGGGCAGTAAGAGAAGGCAGTGATCTTATAGTCTTTATGAGAGCGGGAAGGGCCTCCTCATCAGTGCAAGGAGGTTGTGATACTGGTGTCCTGTACTTGGTGAAATAGGACTTAAATATTTTAAATGGTTCCATGGCAAAAGTATCTTGGAGTATCTGGGTTTCTTCAGTAGTGTCAGAGACCGCTGGCATTTGGAACTTAGTAGTGAAAGGAGTCTGACGTACTGTGGTATCTGGAGCACTGGGATGGACTAATGGCAGTTTAGATTTCAGAGAAGAAATCATTGCCAATCTTTTCTTCGTGACAGAAGAGGACAGTTCTTTCTGGGGCTTTACAGGGGTTGTGGAACCCCATAATGTGGAGGGATACCTAAGGGTGGGAGTGATCCTGAATGTGGAAGCTTGCTCAGGAAGGGTCCACGGTGTTAGATGCTGCCCAAGTGTAGACGGAGCCCACAGATAGGGAGATTGCTCAGGGGTACCAGGAGGTCGGGTTGCCTGGGTTAAGGGTTCATATTCTAGCTGCTCTTCAGGAATGGAAGAGGCCCCAAGAAATGGGGGCTGCCCAGGAGAGAGAGGAGCCCAGAGACTAGGAATCTGTCTAGAGGTGGATGGGGCTCTAGCTACAAGAGGCTGCCTGGGGGAAGGAGGGGTCTTTGATATCAGAGGTAGCCTAGGAGTCAGAGAGCTTCTAGATGTGAAGAACTGCCTAGAGCCAATGGCCTCGAATTCAAGGGGCTGTTCAGGAGAGGGAGGAGCCCCAGGTATTGAGAGCTGCCCAGAAGTGGGAGGGATCTCTGGTGCTAGGAACTGTGCAGGAAAGGATCCATCTTTGTACACCAGAGTCTTTCTAGAAGAAGGAATGATCTGTGGTGCCAGGGGCTTCCTAGGGTCAAAGAGAACCCCCATTCCTGGGGATTTCTTAGGGGTAAGGGGGGCTTCGATGAGAGGTGGCCTTGGTACCTGCAAAGGAGTAGAAGATACTCCAAATATAGACTTCTCAGCAGTAGGAACAGAGAAAGCCAGAGACTGCCCAGAGCTAGGAGATAATCTTGTTGTAATGGATTGCTCAGTGGGAGGAGAAACCTTCAGTTCCCTGACTGTTCTAAGAGTAGAAGGATCTGATAGGACAATCTGCTCAGGAATTTGAGGAGCACTTGGTATGATGGATTCATCAGTAACAGAAAAGGTCCCAGATTCTGGGGTGTGTCCTGAAAAAGGTCTTGCCCACAGCTGTGAGGGCTGCTCATCAGTGAGAGGAGCTCTTGATTTCAGGTCCTGCTCAGACATGAGAGTAGTACCCACAGATTGGGCTTGTCGTGGGGTGAAGGGGACACTGAATCGTTGGACTTGCTCAAGGGTAAGGGGAGATTCATCTGACGTTAGAGGGACTCTTAATTTCCCTAACTGTTCCTGAGAGAGAGGAATTCCCAGTGCTTGAGCCTGTTCTAAGGTGATAGGAAACGGCAAAACCTGGGTTTGCTCAGGAGTACGAGTGAAGGCTGACAGCCAGGCATCTTCTGGAGTGACAGGGATTCCCAATGCCTGGGCTTGTTCCAGGGTGAAATGACTGCCAAGTGCCTGAGCCTGCAGACCAGAGGGAGTGATCCCCAGTGCTTGCAACTGCTTAAGAGTAATCACATTTGATGCTTCTTGGACCTTTTCTGAAGTGATAGGAACCCCCAATTTCCAGGCCTGTTCCTCAGTAAGAGCGATCCCTAATGCCTGGGCCTGATCAGGAGTGAGGGCAATACTTACTGCCTGGTCTCGATCAGGAGTAAGTGTGATACCCAAAGCCCGGGCTTTCTCAGGTGTAAGAGTAAACATCAATGCCTGTGCCTGCTCTGGAACAAGACGGTCCTGCAATGATTGAGCCTGAACAGAAGTGAGAGGAGGCTTCAATACAGGAAGGTACTCAGGAGTGAGAGTAACCCCAGATGCCTGGGGCTGCTGTGGTGTGAGAGTGACTTTTGTCTCTGCCTGTCCTTCAGTGATAGGGACCCCAAGTATCTGGGCCTGTTCAATAGTTGGAATTTGCATTCCTTGGGTCTGTTCAGAAATTACAAATGCCTTTAGTGTCTGGTCATATTTAGGGGTCATAGGGATTCTGAATGGCTGGGCTTGTTCCAGAGTGAAAGGAGCCCTAGATGTCTGTTGTGTCTGCTCATATGGAAATGTGATACCCAAAATTTGGGCCTGCTGAGGGGTAAGGGTAATCCCTTTTGCCTGAACCTGCTGAGGAGTAACAGTAATCCCCAGGTCCTGGGCCTGCTGAGGGGTGAGAGTGATCCCCTGAACCGGGACCTGCTGAGGGGTGAGGGTGATCCCCAGGTCCTGGGCCTGCTGAGGGGTGAGAGTGATCCTCAGGTCCTCAGCCTGCTGAGGGGTGAGAGTGATCCCCTGAGCCTGGGCCTGCTGAGGGGTGAGAGTGATCCCCAGGTCCTGGGCCTGCTGAGGGGTGAGAGTAATCCCCTGAGCCTGGGCCTGCTGAGGGGTGAGAGTGATCCCCTGAGCCTGGACCTGCTGAGGGGTGAGAGTGATCCCCTGAGCCTGGGCCTGCTGGGGGGTGAGAGTGATCCCCTGAGCCTGGGCCTGCTGAAGAGCGAGAGTGATCCCCAGGTCCTGGGCCTGCTGAGGGGTGAGAGTGATCCTCAGGTCCTCAGCCTGCTGAGGGGTGAGAGTGATCCCCAGGTCCTGGGCCTGCTGAGGGGTAAGAGTGATCCCCTGAGCCTGGACCTGCTGAGGGGTGAGAGTGATCCCCAGGTCCTGGGCCTGCTGAGGAGTAAGAGTGATCCCCTGAGCCTGGACCTGCTGAGGAGTCAGAGTGATCCCCAGGTCCTGGGCCTGCTGAGGGGTGAGAGTGATCCCCTGAGCCTGGACCTGCTGAGGGGTGAGGGTGATCCCCAGGTCCTGGGCCTGCTGAGGGGTGAGAGTGATCCTCAGGTCCTCAGCCTGCTGAGGGGTGAGAGTGATCCCCTGAGCCTGGGCCTGCTGAGGGGGGAGGCTGAGCCTCAGGTCCTCAGCCTGCTGAGGGGGGAGGCTGAGCCTCAGGTCCTCAGCCTGCTGAGGGGGGAGGCTGAGCCTCAGGTCCTCAGCCTGCTGAGGGGGGAGGCTGAGCCTCAGGTCCTCAGCCTGCTGAGGGGGGAGGCTGAGCCTCAGGTCCTCAGCCTGCTGAGGGGGGAGGCTGAGCCTCAGGTCCTCAGCCTGCTGAGGGGGGAGGCTGAGCCTCAGGTCCTCAGCCTGCTGAGGGGGGAGGCTGAGCCTCAGGTCCTCAGCCTGCTGAGGGGGGAGGCTGAGCCTCAGGTCCTCAGCCTGCTGAGGGGGGAGGCTGAGCCTCAGGTCCTCAGCCTGCTGAGGGGGGAGGCTGAGCCTCAGGTCCTCAGCCTGCTGAGGGGGGAGGCTGAGCCTCAGGTCCTCAGCCTGCTGAGGGGGGAGGCTGAGCCTCAGGTCCTCAGCCTGCTGAGGGGGGAGGCTGAGCCTCAGGTCCTCAGCCTGCTGAGGGGGGAGGCTGAGCCTCAGGTCCTCAGCCTGCTGAGGGGGGAGGCTGAGCCTCAGGTCCTCAGCCTGCTGAGGGGGGAGGCTGAGCCTCAGGTCCTCAGCCTGCTGAGGGGGGAGGCTGAGCCTCAGGTCCTCAGCCTGCTGAGGGGGGAGGCTGAGCCTCAGGTCCTCAGCCTGCTGAGGGGGGAGGCTGAGCCTCAGGTCCTCAGCCTGCTGAGGGGGGAGGCTGAGCCTCAGGTCCTCAGCCTGCTGAGGGGGGAGGCTGAGCCTCAGGTCCTCAGCCTGCTGAGGGGGGAGGCTGAGCCTCAGGTCCTCAGCCTGCTGAGGGGGGAGGCTGAGCCTCAGGTCCTCAGCCTGCTGAGGGGGGAGGCTGAGCCTCAGGTCCTCAGCCTGCTGAGGGGGGAGGCTGAGCCTCAGGTCCTCAGCCTGCTGAGGGGGGAGGCTGAGCCTCAGGTCCTCAGCCTGCTGAGGGGGGAGGCTGAGCCTCAGGTCCTCAGCCTGCTGAGGGGGGAGGCTGAGCCTCAGGTCCTCAGCCTGCTGAGGGGGGAGGCTGAGCCTCAGGTCCTCAGCCTGCTGAGGGGGGAGGCTGAGCCTCAGGTCCTCAGCCTGCTGAGGGGGGAGGCTGAGCCTCAGGTCCTCAGCCTGCTGAGGGGGGAGGCTGAGCCTCAGGTCCTCAGCCTGCTGAGGGGGGAGGCTGAGCCTCAGGTCCTCAGCCTGCTGAGGGGGGAGGCTGAGCCTCAGGTCCTCAGCCTGCTGAGGGGGGAGGCTGAGCCTCAGGTCCTCAGCCTGCTGAGGGGGGAGGCTGAGCCTCAGGTCCTCAGCCTGCTGAGGGGGGAGGCTGAGCCTCAGGTCCTCAGCCTGCTGAGGGGGGAGGCTGAGCCTCAGGTCCTCAGCCTGCTGAGGGGGGAGGCTGAGCCTCAGGTCCTCAGCCTGCTGAGGGGGGAGGCTGAGCCTCAGGTCCTCAGCCTGCTGAGGGGGGAGGCTGAGCCTCAGGTCCTCAGCCTGCTGAGGGGGGAGGCTGAGCCTCAGGTCCTCAGCCTGCTGAGGGGGGAGGCTGAGCCTCAGGTCCTCAGCCTGCTGAGGGGGGAGGCTGAGCCTCAGGTCCTCAGCCTGCTGAGGGGGGAGGCTGAGCCTCAGGTCCTCAGCCTGCTGAGGGGGGAGGCTGAGCCTCAGGTCCTCAGCCTGCTGAGGGGGGAGGCTGAGCCTCAGGTCCTCAGCCTGCTGAGGGGGGAGGCTGAGCCTCAGGTCCTCAGCCTGCTGAGGGGGGAGGCTGAGCCTCAGGTCCTCAGCCTGCTGAGGGGGGAGGCTGAGCCTCAGGTCCTCAGCCTGCTGAGGGGGGAGGCTGAGCCTCAGGTCCTCAGCCTGCTGAGGGGGGAGGCTGAGCCTCAGGTCCTCAGCCTGCTGAGGGGGGAGGCTGAGCCTCAGGTCCTCAGCCTGCTGAGGGGGGAGGCTGAGCCTCAGGTCCTCAGCCTGCTGAGGGGGGAGGCTGAGCCTCAGGTCCTCAGCCTGCTGAGGGGGGAGGCTGAGCCTCAGGTCCTCAGCCTGCTGAGGGGGGAGGCTGAGCCTCAGGTCCTCAGCCTGCTGAGGGGGGAGGCTGAGCCTCAGGTCCTCAGCCTGCTGAGGGGGGAGGCTGAGCCTCAGGTCCTCAGCCTGCTGAGGGGGGAGGCTGAGCCTCAGGTCCTCAGCCTGCTGAGGGGGGAGGCTGAGCCTCAGGTCCTCAGCCTGCTGAGGGGGGAGGCTGAGCCTCAGGTCCTCAGCCTGCTGAGGGGGGAGGCTGAGCCTCAGGTCCTCAGCCTGCTGAGGGGGGAGGCTGAGCCTCAGGTCCTCAGCCTGCTGAGGGGGGAGGCTGAGCCTCAGGTCCTCAGCCTGCTGAGGGGGGAGGCTGAGCCTCAGGTCCTCAGCCTGCTGAGGGGGGAGGCTGAGCCTCAGGTCCTCAGCCTGCTGAGGGGGGAGGCTGAGCCTCAGGTCCTCAGCCTGCTGAGGGGGGAGGCTGAGCCTCAGGTCCTCAGCCTGCTGAGGGGGGAGGCTGAGCCTCAGGTCCTCAGCCTGCTGAGGGGGGAGGCTGAGCCTCAGGTCCTCAGCCTGCTGAGGGGGGAGGCTGAGCCTCAGGTCCTCAGCCTGCTGAGGGGGGAGGCTGAGCCTCAGGTCCTCAGCCTGCTGAGGGGGGAGGCTGAGCCTCAGGTCCTCAGCCTGCTGAGGGGGGAGGCTGAGCCTCAGGTCCTCAGCCTGCTGAGGGGGGAGGCTGAGCCTCAGGTCCTCAGCCTGCTGAGGGGGGAGGCTGAGCCTCAGGTCCTCAGCCTGCTGAGGGGGGAGGCTGAGCCTCAGGTCCTCAGCCTGCTGAGGGGGGAGGCTGAGCCTCAGGTCCTCAGCCTGCTGAGGGGGGAGGCTGAGCCTCAGGTCCTCAGCCTGCTGAGGGGGGAGGCTGAGCCTCAGGTCCTCAGCCTGCTGAGGGGGGAGGCTGAGCCTCAGGTCCTCAGCCTGCTGAGGGGGGAGGCTGAGCCTCAGGTCCTCAGCCTGCTGAGGGGGGAGGCTGAGCCTCAGGTCCTCAGCCTGCTGAGGGGGGAGGCTGAGCCTCAGGTCCTCAGCCTGCTGAGGGGGGAGGCTGAGCCTCAGGTCCTCAGCCTGCTGAGGGGGGAGGCTGAGCCTCAGGTCCTCAGCCTGCTGAGGGGGGAGGCTGAGCCTCAGGTCCTCAGCCTGCTGAGGGGGGAGGCTGAGCCTCAGGTCCTCAGCCTGCTGAGGGGGGAGGCTGAGCCTCAGGTCCTCAGCCTGCTGAGGGGGGAGGCTGAGCCTCAGGTCCTCAGCCTGCTGAGGGGGGAGGCTGAGCCTCAGGTCCTCAGCCTGCTGAGGGGGGAGGCTGAGCCTCAGGTCCTCAGCCTGCTGAGGGGGGAGGCTGAGCCTCAGGTCCTCAGCCTGCTGAGGGGGGAGGCTGAGCCTCAGGTCCTCAGCCTGCTGAGGGGGGAGGCTGAGCCTCAGGTCCTCAGCCTGCTGAGGGGGGAGGCTGAGCCTCAGGTCCTCAGCCTGCTGAGGGGGGAGGCTGAGCCTCAGGTCCTCAGCCTGCTGAGGGGGGAGGCTGAGCCTCAGGTCCTCAGCCTGCTGAGGGGGGAGGCTGAGCCTCAGGTCCTCAGCCTGCTGAGGGGGGAGGCTGAGCCTCAGGTCCTCAGCCTGCTGAGGGGGGAGGCTGAGCCTCAGGTCCTCAGCCTGCTGAGGGGGGAGGCTGAGCCTCAGGTCCTCAGCCTGCTGAGGGGGGAGGCTGAGCCTCAGGTCCTCAGCCTGCTGAGGGGGGAGGCTGAGCCTCAGGTCCTCAGCCTGCTGAGGGGGGAGGCTGAGCCTCAGGTCCTCAGCCTGCTGAGGGGGGAGGCTGAGCCTCAGGTCCTCAGCCTGCTGAGGGGGGAGGCTGAGCCTCAGGTCCTCAGCCTGCTGAGGGGGGAGGCTGAGCCTCAGGTCCTCAGCCTGCTGAGGGGGGAGGCTGAGCCTCAGGTCCTCAGCCTGCTGAGGGGGGAGGCTGAGCCTCAGGTCCTCAGCCTGCTGAGGGGGGAGGCTGAGCCTCAGGTCCTCAGCCTGCTGAGGGGGGAGGCTGAGCCTCAGGTCCTCAGCCTGCTGAGGGGGGAGGCTGAGCCTCAGGTCCTCAGCCTGCTGAGGGGGGAGGCTGAGCCTCAGGTCCTCAGCCTGCTGAGGGGGGAGGCTGAGCCTCAGGTCCTCAGCCTGCTGAGGGGGGAGGCTGAGCCTCAGGTCCTCAGCCTGCTGAGGGGGGAGGCTGAGCCTCAGGTCCTCAGCCTGCTGAGGGGGGAGGCTGAGCCTCAGGTCCTCAGCCTGCTGAGGGGGGAGGCTGAGCCTCAGGTCCTCAGCCTGCTGAGGGGGGAGGCTGAGCCTCAGGTCCTCAGCCTGCTGAGGGGGGAGGCTGAGCCTCAGGTCCTCAGCCTGCTGAGGGGGGAGGCTGAGCCTCAGGTCCTCAGCCTGCTGAGGGGGGAGGCTGAGCCTCAGGTCCTCAGCCTGCTGAGGGGGGAGGCTGAGCCTCAGGTCCTCAGCCTGCTGAGGGGGGAGGCTGAGCCTCAGGTCCTCAGCCTGCTGAGGGGGGAGGCTGAGCCTCAGGTCCTCAGCCTGCTGAGGGGGGAGGCTGAGCCTCAGGTCCTCAGCCTGCTGAGGGGGGAGGCTGAGCCTCAGGTCCTCAGCCTGCTGAGGGGGGAGGCTGAGCCTCAGGTCCTCAGCCTGCTGAGGGGGGAGGCTGAGCCTCAGGTCCTCAGCCTGCTGAGGGGGGAGGCTGAGCCTCAGGTCCTCAGCCTGCTGAGGGGTGAGAGTGATCCCCTGAGCCTGGGCCTGCTGAGGGGTGAGAGTGATCCCCAGGTCCTGGGCCTGCTGAGGAGTAAGAGTGATTCTCTGAGCCTGGATCTGCTGAGGGGTGAGAGTGATCCCCAGGTCCTGGGCCTGCTGAGGGGTGAGAATGATCCCCGGAGCCTGGATCTGCTGAGGGGCGAGTGTAATCCCCAGGTCCTGGGCCTGCTGAGGGGTAAGAGTGATCCCCTGAGCCTGGGCCTGCTGAGGAGTGAGAGTGATCCCCAGGTCCTGAGCCTGCTGAGGGGTAAGAGTGATACCCTGAGCCTGGACCTGCTGAGGGGTGAGAGTGATCCCCAGGTCCTGGGCCTGCTGAGGGGTAAGAGTGATCCCCTGAGCCTGGGCCTGCTGAGGAGTGAGAGTGATTCCCAGGTCCTGGACCTGCTGAGGGGTAAGAGTGATCCGTTGAGCCTGGGCCTGCTGAGGAGTGAGAGTGATCCCCAGGTCCTGAGCCTGCTGAGGAGTAAGAGTGATTCCCTGAGCCTGGACCTGCTGAGGGGTGAGAGTGATCCCCAGGTCCTGGGCCTGCTGAGGGGTGAGAGTGATCCCCGGAGCCTGGACCTGCTGAGGGGCGAGAGTAATCCCCAGGTCCTGGGCCTGCTGAGGGGCAAGAGTGATCCCCAGATCCTGGGCTTGCTTAGAGGTGAGAGTGATCCCCAGGTCCTGGGGTTGCCAAGGAGTGAGAATGATCCCCAGGTCCTGGGCCTGCTGAGGGGTAAGAGTGATCCCTTGAGCCTGGGCCTGCTGAGGGGTGAGAGTGATCCCCAGGTCCTGGGCCTGCTGAGGGGTAAGAGTGATCCCTTGAGCCTGGGCCTGCTGAGGGGTGAGAGTGATCCCCAGGTCCTGGGCCTGCTGAGG